ACGTATAAAGCTGAAGAATAGTTGAACTACTCTTTGTTTCTTTGTCAAAGTAAGAATATATAGTTGTAACGACATGGTAATGTTCATCAGAACTACGGAGGGATTGAAGTGCATTCATGTAGTTTAGCATAGCAACAACTTGTTTGCATACCGTTACGTAGTTCTTTAAATTTGCATAAAGTTGTGATTGATAATGCATAATGTGATTGATATTTACAAGGAACGATGTAATTTTTAAAGGTAGCATTTTATGGAAAGCGTTGAAGGAATTCGTGAAATTCGAGTCTCTCTCGAGAGGGACAAGAGAGCTTTTCTTTTGTGAAGAAAGGCACGATTTAACCAGGCGTTTGATTTCGTTTTCACATGAGGATATATTTCAGTATTAAGACTCGAAAGATCCACTCGATGTCTAGCTCTCCATCTTCGTAATGGCGTTTTTATGTTGGCATTGGCTAGCTGGGTGGAACGAGTATTCGCAAAGAGGAGAATACGAGCGACGTCGTTCCTAAACGATTGATGTACCGGAAAGCAAACTTATCCGATCGCACTATCTATTCGAATTTGTTATACGATAATAAATGCCGCAATAATAATAATGTTGTCACGCGTGTTTCTTTTCAATGCTAATTTCACTTTTTTTTATTTATAATATTTTTATTTATTTATATTTATTGTGAGATTTGTCTAACTTGTAAGAAAATTTGATATTGCAAATTTATTTTTTGCGGTATAATTAAATATAAATTAAATATATACGAATACAAATAGATGAAATATGAAGAATTTTAAATATTATGCTTTTATATCTTATTATGTTTTATATTTATGTTTATATCTAAACTTATTGACAATTTTTCCAATTTTATATCATCTGAAAAATTTTACGTGGGATCGTATAGAAAGACGTTACTCGTATTTTCTTTTTTTTTATGATCAATATGTTCGTTATTGGGATCGACAGCGCGCGAACAAGCAAGGAAGTAACTACTCTTTAGAGAAAGCCTCACAAAAGATAGCCTTGACTTGGAAACTTGAGACTTTGTTGAACTGATTGTAAGATGAGAAACTCGAAATTGAGGGAACATTTCAGCACAGTTCGATATCGCGTTACTATGTCCTTTCGACTTTAGTCGATGCGCGATACAAGCACGGAACATCGATCTGAATTCTATCCATCTATGTTCCTCACGTAATATTCTGCGCGTGAAATGTACATACGGCATATAAGTCATTTCATTTTGATTTTATAATCAGACAGGAGGAAGATCAATAGTGAATAGAACAATGAATAGATTGCTAAAAATAAATTTCTGAAGCAATAACATGGATAATAATAATTTTTAAATTGTCACAGAAATATAGATTTATTGATCTTTAGTTTTTTTGTTAGATAAAACAAATGAAAATGAGAATACTATTATTCTTTTCTTACTGACAGCAGTAAAGATAAAAATAATGTTTTACTTTCTTTGTTTTGTTATGACATTATTTATTCTGTAGCATGATATAAAACTTGTCCCACGTTAAAACTTGTAGCATGATATAAAATTTTGATTAAGTCTTTTAATTAATATAAAAATATTTTTAGTATCACAATTTATTAGCAATACATTCGATATATTAATCTGCATTGCGAATATATTAGACCAATATTGGTTAATATAAATTAATAGTAGTTATTAAATTAAATGTAAATGCAGCAAAATATGATGCAAAATATGATGCAATTCCTATTTTACAAATACGAATCAACATTGAAAACTAATTTATAATCAATATCGCTTTAATAATTAGTAGAGATAATTCAGGTGTATCATTAGTACTTCTTACTTATGTGTAAGTAATGAATTTATAATAAAATTTTAATGGCTCTACTATATTTATATTAATAAAAAGCTTGTTTGAGTTAAGTACACGTTATTAAGAAACTTTTATCATTTCCAGATTTATTCTTTGTAAATCACGAAGAGGATGAATGAAGCGGGGAAAATCGATTTACGCATGAGAACGTTTCTATATTTCAAGCATTTTATCGCATCTCTCGCTTTATTTTATTTTCTTTCAATGCCCTTACATCTTGAAAAAAGAGATTTATGTAGGTAGACGTAAATAGCGTTATTAATAGTATATTGTGTGTACTACACCTCGTATATGATACGCGATGGGTTTCAGGCACTTTTGAACGTATATACGTAATACTAAAATACCGTTCACACGCTTAGCCCGTATTCAGCACCATCGATAAGAATTATTCTGGTTTATCGTACGTTTATCGCACTACCGTATTTCACTTCGTTATGTCTATCTTTTATAGCAGTTTTATATTTCAAAGAGAAAAATCTGCGATAGTCAAAATTAACTTGTTCCTCATATAACCTCATATAGCACGTTATCTTTATGAGTTTTTTAAAGTCAGTTTCAATTCTTTTTAAGAAGATGATTTTTGAGGTCAATATTTTCGGTATTTTGGAAGCAAGGGTTAACGTAATTTTTGTCGAGAATCCTAAATGTAGCGTTTATCACAGACATCATATATCGTAGATAATTACGAGATTTATCGGTGACATGATTAACTGTCATGAGACAATTGTTAATTATTCATCATAAAATTAATGATATAATTGTGAAATCTCCACTGTATCGTCAGTTATCTTTCTTGCAATTTACTGCAACAATCCATTTCTGTCGTAACTGACGGACCTAAAGGCATCCTCGACGAGGTCCGTTAAGCATCTAACCGCTTGCAGAAGAGCCGCGAGAAGCAACGACAATGAGAGTGAAATCAGTTTGCTGGGTACCAGTGCATTCTCCGAGGGACCATGGTTTTTCCCTGACGTCTTTTTTCTCTTCCGCTTATCGCAACCAGTATTTTTACTGGCGCTATTGTCTTTGTCCTGTGTTTTAGCTGTCGTTGCAGTCACGCGCTTCGATTTCGTAGGCGATTTTTCCTTCGATCGTGACATCGCACTGTCTCGGACTTCCTTGGCTAATCTTGGTCTGTGGCTCATCCTCTGTCTGTGCAGAATAAATCGTCGATGCGACGCAAAATTTTCGAGCTTTTTTCGAAAATCCTCCGCCGTTGCTTCTACAGCCTGTAAAAGCCTTTCCTCGTGGGATCCTCTTCTGTGACGTCGTTTTTCCTGGCCCGTTTGCAGAGCGCTTTCTGATAGTGCTTTGGCATTGGCTGCTAAACGACGAGATCCCGTGGCCGTAAGGAAGACGTCCTGCAATGAGGGCTTATCATTCTCTGGTTTATCACCGAATTCCGAATTCTGGAAGATCGAGTTCTCGTCCAATGAGCTCGCCCTACTGTGCCACTTGTCACGAAAGAGAGATTTCTTTTCAGCGCATGCGCTATTCAAATTATAATCGATTGTAATCGCAGGTTCTTCCGGTTCCGATGAACACAACCTAATATTTTCTTTAACTTCATCCAAGGCGATTTTTCTTGGTAGAGTTTTGCCAAGACTATTGAGCACAAAGTTTGTCATTTTTTCTGAATATATCTGAGAATTCGAATCTTTCTCCTCTTCTTGTATTTTTGAATTATCTGTCCAATTAACATGATGATCATCTACCGATTTTGAAGAGTTATTTTCATTAATGTTAATCATATTTGAGCACTCCTCGTTGAAGCTGTTTAGGAGAGGCGCGCTTGCATTTCCATCATCATCATCGTTATCCTTGATCGTTATGTTCTGACCTACCCATACTTCTTCCTCTTCTACTTCATCTCTATCCTCGTTTTCCTCCTCTTCGTCCGTATCAAGAGACATGGATTTCTTTCTGGGAATAACCGGAACAATGCCATCAGCGTATAAAAGATCCTGTACCTCGTAAAGGCTTCGCTCGATACTCGGACTTTTATAAAGTAGATTCCGCAATTCCGGTATATCCAGGTCCTGAACGTGAAGGAGATTTTGTTCAATATTCAAAAGACTTTCCTCAATTTGTACCAAACATTGTTCAATGTCGCAGGTCGTTCCCGAGTCTGACTCGTTTTTCTTTTCTGATTGATTAGTATTTGTCTCGTATGTCTTGTCTTGTTTTTTTACGATATCATTTTTAGATTCCTCCGATGTAACATAAGATTCTCTGTGGTGATTTTCTGACCGCAATTCTGAGGACCAGGGAGGCATCATAGCTTGATACTGCGTTTGACTGTCGTAGAATACGCGATAATTGCTGTGACTGTTGGCTATTTCGTAATTCATATCCGCCGTTTTATTGTGCCAGGTTAAATTGTCATTTTTTGATGTTTCTCCGTAATGTCGATTCTGCATATTTGCTGCAAGATTGCTATGCTCGCCATGGCTGTTTGCAATTGTATACGTTACATCAAGGCCTCGAGTCATTTCCAGATTATTTTTGGCGCTCTGGTGCTCCAAATACAATTCTGTATATTTGCTATGGCTGCTCGAATCCTGATAGGCATTTCCGTGACTGTTTGCAAGCGGATACGTCGCGCCGAAATCGAAATCAGATCGGTGTCGTTTTATACTACTACTTCTCTTTGCTCGATCGTATATCGACCACTCACGTTTACCATGACTATCGGTATCTTCATCATGGTCATCATTGTCATCATAATCATCGTCGTCGTCGTATTCAATGGCGTTCTCGGGATACGGTAATTCCTCGGTATCGATCTCAGGAACTAAAGGCCCGAGATTTCTGTCGTCGATTAAAATATACCCATCTAGCACGTTTTCGTCGAGATCGATCCATCTCTTGGAATCTTCGACGGTTTTTTGATGTCGCTTCTTGATGGGATGATTTATGGGACGTCGTCGTCGCTCACGTATCGTGGAATCATGCACATGTATTTCCACCGGGCAGAGAACGTCGGGACTCTTCTTGGTGTTGTCCTGCAAAGCTGGCGGCGTCGTGGCCACCAACGGCGCCGCTTCATCTAGTAAATTGTCTCTGGATTCGCGGTACCGATAACCAGGACAAGGTGTATCGACCGGCGAATGTGAGAGAAGATTAACATAGCCGCCGGCGCCTCTGCCTATAAGCGATCAGGTGCTGGTCGATGGAATCGTCTGATCATGAACCACGGAGTCTTGGCTCTCATTTAATATTTCATTACTTGATCTCAAGCGGTGTATGTTACATATCACCTGTCGGCACATAGAAAATAAACATACGTAATTTTTCAGTAATACGTAATGTTCAGTAAAAAGTAGAGCAAGACTACATATTACACTAAATTTTTAAAAAACAAAGAAAAAAATTTTCTCTTTTAATCTTTTCTAATTTAGTCGTTTCCTTTCGCGAAATTTTCTATACTTTTGAACTGTATTATATTAAATATTTAACATAATATATAATATCAAATATAAATTTCACTTCGATAAATTGTTAAAACATATATATGTATACTTGTTATATATTTTAAAGGAGTTTTAATATAAGATAAAAAAATTACAAAAAATTACTTGTTGCATTAAAGAAATATTTTTAAAAATTACCTTTGGAGGACTTATTCTGACATCTCTAAACTCGTCTGTGAACGTCAAAATATAGGCGCAGAATGCTATTGCACAAAGCCATTCGGTAATCGTGCTAGCTACATGCAATTCCCAGCCACCATCCTCCTTATACCATTTCCGTGGATTCGTTCCTTCAGAATATATTTTAGATATTAATACACTGTAATATGCAGTGCGAATAATATTTAAAAATCAACGAACCAACCCTTATAGGCCAAACGGGCCAGCACGCCTGTGATGAGAATCACAAAGAAGCACACAGTACAAAAGGTCGATAATGCCGTACGGAGATGTGCGAGTCGCAATGAGCATCCTGATGGGTGTAAATAAAATGAACATATAGCCTGTAATAAAAAGATAATCAGCTTATTGGCGTGGATATATATATATATATATATATGATGCTGTATCAATCATTAC